AATTCCAAAATTTGCTGACCCCCCAAGTTTTAAAAGTCGGAAACAATGCTTTTCTTTTGGGAGAGAGCAAATTTTTCTGAATGAATCATTTAAATTTATTTCTTTTAAATCCTTTGAAACTTTTTGAGTGTCGAACGGAACGTTTAGACATTACCATTCAGGGTTCCGATTTTGCCGAATTTGTGTTCTTTCATTTTTACTACAGCTTACTGCTCTGCATCAGTCATTTTTACACGCGAATCTATACCGCTAGATGGCTCCTTACATCGCTGACTTCAAAAATTATTTAAAAATATAAAAACGCAAATTCAGCTGAATTGAAACCCTGAATGCAAATGTCTAAACGTTCCGTTCGACACTCTTTGCATTCCTTGAAAAGAAGGATTTTCAGAAATTGTTTTATAACATTCTCTTCATTTACGATAGTCTTCTTGAAAAGAAAGATATATTCATCCATCAGGACATTGTTTAAAGAACTCTGCGACTTCTGACTTTATTCCTTATTGCCAAAACTCAAATTCCGGACAAAGATCAGCAGAGAAGCGTGATGTATCAAAACTTTCTATTCATTCTTTTTTATTTCCTAGTTATCCTTGTTTGAAAGAATATGTAATGGTGTCTTTTGGCTTCATCGCACTGGTTATGAGGAAATAATTTGCCCGGATGGACATGCAATCGCTGAAAAAATCCTAATTTCCCCGGAATAAACGCGGACGTTTTATTCCGCAATTATTACGTCCGGCCGGAAGTTTCCCGCGAAAGATTCAACTCTTCGCGCCACTTCGCGCCACATCCCACGATCCACCCATCGATCCACGTCCCACGTTCCTTGACGAAATCATTTCCAGCGGCCTGCACAAGCTGGCAGCAGTGAACACTCCGTTCTGCAGAAATATATTTTTTTTTTCTGGGAAATATTTTATTTCCTGAGAAATAATTTTTTTTCAGAGATATATTTTTTTCCTGAGAAATATATTTTTCTCTCGAGATTTTTTTTTGTCAGGAGCGGTGAAAATATTTCTACGGCGAATTTTTTTTCTGAGATAAAAAAAAATATTTCTCCAAAGCAAAAAAAAAAAAAAAAAATTCGAAGTAGCAGGAATATTTCTACGGGTGAAAAATAATTTCTACATGTATTTTTTTTTCTTGAGAAATATTTTTTTTTCTTTCGATAAATATATTTTTATTTCTCAGGGTTACGGAAATGACGCCATACGCGCCCCCGGAAGCGCAGAAAAACATAACGGTCGCAGGAACAGGGTGCCGGGGCCCGACCGGAAACACCCGCGCGGCCAAAAAAACGTAACCACCCTCAGGGCTCGTGACAACCCCCCGGAGGGTGGGAACGGGAAACCCCGTGAGTCGAGGAGGGACCGGAGGCCCGGCCACGAGATGTCCGCTGACCGATCCTCAAGGGTGTGGGACGCCCCGGGGCGGCGGTGCGAGGGGCGAGGGTCGCGTGGGAAGTCGGAGGAACGATCCTGCTAGTACACTTTGCATGAAATACGATTCTGGCATTAGTTTTCCAGACAATGGACATCCTGTCCTTCTCAAAATGGTGGCGGTCAAAATGGCGACTTGGAGCGGTGAGGGAATATTTAGGCTGTTTATCGGTGGATTTGAATGAAACTCTGAATTAGGGGGTATTTCGGCTGACACCGCAATCACACGCTGAATGTGAGAGCTGAATGTGGCTTGAATGTGGAAGTCATCGGCCCGATGCCTGAATTTTGCGCGTGACGCGCAAAATTCAGCAACGATTCTCAGCAACCATCGGACCAATTTTGAATTTGTCTGAACAATTCGAGTAGATTTAATACACATCTGGATGAAAATAACTCGGATTTGCTAAATTTCAGCCGTTGGGCGATGACTGTTGACTTCCACATTCAGCTGCTAAATTCAGCGTCTGATTGCGGCAAAAAGAAAAATGAATCTTTCATGGGATTTTGGAAATTCTGAATAACTTCAAAATGGCGCCGGAAAAATGGCGGAAACATGGAATTACAAACGTGTACGGTTGGCTTAGTATTGAACTCAGCCGCAATTTTGAAAGTTTGCAACATTTCAAAAATTTAAAGTAAGAGAGTCATTCTTGATGAACCAGAAACCAACGAAACTCCGAGTTTGATGCGAATCCAACCGTAAACGTCTGTAATTCCAAGTTTCCGCCATTTTTCCGGCGCCATTTTGATGTTATTCAGAATTTCAAGAATCCAATGAAAGATTCGTTTTTCTCATGCCGAAATACCCCCCTCATACAGAGTTTCATGCAAATCCACCGATAAACAGACGATAAATAAACGATTCCCTTACCGCTCCAAGTCGCCATGTTGACCACCACCATTTTGAGGATAGGATGTCCATTGTCTAGAAAACTAATGCCGGAATCGTTTTTCTCGTCCCAAAAAACCGGCGTAACCCACTTTTCGTCCCAATCTGTCAAAAAAAGGAGCTGTCAAATTTCCATTAGTTTGAACTTTGACCGGCCGCCATTTTGTAAAAAATTAAGATTTCGACTTGCGGTTTGCGCCAAAAATTTTCTTTTTTTGTCTTCTTTTGATTGATGTGTCACAAATTGCTTTCGATTGATGTGTCACAAATTGCTATTTGGAAAAAAAAGGTTGGGGTCCGCAGCCCCTCCCCACGGAGAGCTCCAAAAGTAGCTAACATCAATCAATGAACATCCCCAAAGTTTTGTTTCAAAATATTAATTAGGTAAAATTTTAGAGGGGGTGGAAGGGACTTTTGGGACACCCTGTATTTTAAACTACTTTTCAACTCCTAAGTTTACCTGAGTAAAAAAGATTTCACAATTTCGAAGACTAGGGACTTTACTTACGGTGCAGCAACATAAAATAGGTAATATAAAGAAAAGTGCCTTACTCTGAGTAGCCTTTCCACTTTAGGAGGTATTCAACTTTCCCACCACGCATTCTTCGGTCCAAAACTTTTTCAACACTGAATTCTTCTTCTTCACCATCAACGGACGAGTTGTCATCTTTGTCTTTTGTCTTACGATTTTCTGTAAATAAGATAGACAGAAAAGTCTCCTTGAAATAAGAACAAAAGTGAGGCACTTCTTGGCTCTTGATTTTTCTGCAGGGCCAATAAATCAGAAGCACATGGCTCCAAAAGTTCACGGAAAAATTTAGCTTCAGTTACAGTGCAATATAAAAGATAAAAATAGTTGAAGGTCGAAAAAAGTTTTTCTCTTCTGTGGTGATTCCTCATTGCTCTGCTGTTGCTAGCCGAAGAGTGTGTTCCCATTTTAGGGAAGAGCTTGTCAAAGTGTGAAAACTCGTTCAGAAGAACATTAAAATAGAGATATAATTTCAACACGTTTTCTCATTCTCAGCTTTAGGCTCTGACCGCTTGCAAAGTTGTTAGTCCCAGCAATGGAATCATGATATCAAATCC